CCGTGTGCGCGGGCTCCTCGCCCCCGCCGTCCCCGTCCCCCCCCCACGCAGGGCGGGGCTCGGGGGCTTCGGCGAGGCTGGTGGGGTGCTCTGACCTGATGATGAAGGCTCCTCTCATCTCCAGGAGCTTCCGTTCGCTGCTGAAGCGCTTGAGGAGGTTGATCATGAACTTGTAGAAGTAGGAGTTCATGGTGGGGGTGGAGGGCGAGCACTCCAAGCCTTTTGTACCTGGGGAGACAGGAGAAGGGGAGAGCAAGTTAGAGCAGCCAGGACCTCCTGCCAAAGCAGTGTCTATCAGAGAGCAGACACCCAAAATACGGTCACAGCACTTGAAGGTTTCTGAGCCTCGTATGACCTCATCTGCTCAGTCCAAGCAGAGGCAGCCCCGCCACAGCTTTCTCCCTGCCAGGGGAAAGCATCTTGTGGTGGTCCCAGCCCCTGAAGCAGCACGCAAGGATGAAATGGGCTTTTTGGGAGATCACCCCAGAGCTGCTCAGCTTCAGTAGCTGATGGGACACAGGCGCCTGAGGCTCCAGATCAATAGGCAACCCCGTCTCCTCGGATACGGCATACACACTCATCCCAAAAACCAGATTGCTGGTGAGTCGAAGAGCCTTTAATCCAGCCCCGCATGCCACAGATGCCCCGAGCCCGGCGTGCACGCAGCGGCAGGCACACAATTCCAGGCCTGGGTCATGGCACGGCCACCGGTTTACGCTCGGTGACGTGATTTCCCCGGAGCAGGAGCTGCTTGATACAACAGTGTCACACCCAGCGTGCCCCCGGGCTAGCACAAAGTACCGGTCAAACCACAGCAGAGCTCCAGGATTAGAGATTGTACCAAAAAAAGGGTTTTTTCCCCCCGCTTTGTTCTCTGTTTGCAAAAATCCTTTATAACCAAAGCAGCTGGAGGTTGGGGCAGGGACACCGGCACGGAGGAGCAGCGGTCCCTGCAGCCGGGAGCATCCCTGCTCCTGGAGCGCCTGCCGGGTTGGGGCCCAGACCCGCTCGCCGCTGCTGCAGCCACCACCGGCTCTGCCCAGACGCCCAACAAAGCTTTGCTTCGAGGCGGCAGCTACCACAGGTCACCTTCACAAGTCCCAAAGGCAGAAAACTATGGGTAATGAGCGTGGCCGAACTCTCCGAGCAAGGAGGGTGCGGGAAGCGCCCCGGCCGGAGGGAAGGGCGAGGCGAGGTGTTGGTAAGCTGTCCTGACTCGGTCTGAGACTATTTGCAGGGCAGGGAGCCAGGGCAGGCTGGCAAAGGGGCACCTCCCAGCTCCGGGTCCGCAGAGAGCAGCAGGAAAAAATATCCCTTCAAACCCACAAGTGCAGGGAGCTGGCAGGGAACGACTGCCTTTCCCACGGCGAAACCAGAGGGGAGGGGAGGTGGTTTACTCTGCAGGACAGCCCTCCGACCAAATGTTTGGAGAGAGGGTTTCAAAGGAGTGTGCAACAAGGGGAGCTCTTCTCCCTCAGCTTCTCCCATGGAAAGACCGTGTGTAACCGTGGTAAGGAGGGGAGCCAGGACATACAAGCGCCCTAAAGGTTACTCCCCCCATCCCAAGCACAGCCACTATTTCCATCAGATGGCCGAAGGAAGCCTGAAGAGTTTGATTTATGTATGTTGTCTGCTGCTACCGAGACTCAGCAGAGCGCGGAGCAGCCAATTAAAGATGCAATCAAGCCGCCAGAGCCCTGGAAAGCTGATGAAAAAGCCACAGGGCTGTTTTCCACCCTGCCTGTCCCAACGACACGCAGAGATGTGGACGCGGGCTCAGCCAGGGCAGCCTCCCCAGGCTTGGACTGAGCATCCACGCAGCCAAAGAAAAAGGAAAATAAAACACGAGGTCATCTGGATCAGAACCTGGCGTCTCCTCCCCGCTGGAGCCATGTGTTCGCTCTGCCTTGGTGCATCTGACACCCCAAACCAGGCTTTGAAGCAGTCATCTCCCGGCGCACAAGTGTTGGCCGTGGCATCAGGTTTCCCCTCAGCTGCGGGGAAGATGATCTGGGCAAATAAAAAAAAAATACAGGATCTAGCTGAGCCGATGCGCTCCAAAACAAAAGTGCATTTGTTCGAAGGCAGGGAGTACCCGGCATGAAAATACAGCCGAGCCCCGCGTGTCGTCTCGCTCCAGCTGCTCGGCAGGGCTCAGAGGCGAGTTGAGAAGAGACGCGGTCGGGCCAACGCGATGCGGAGCAGCTCTGCCTTCCCCCCGCGCCAGCCCGGGGCTCAGCCTTGCACCTCCCAGCCCGTACCAGGGGCAGAGCCTCAAAAGCAAGCGCCGGTTTTCTTTCTGGTGGGAAGGGGAGGTGAAGAGCAGATGGAAACCGCCTTCCAAAGCTGCAAAATTGGTATTTTTAAAATCTGTTTTGTCAGCAGTGCGGAGGCATCCAAAGCAGAGCTGTGCTGCAACCCGAGAGCTTGGAGCAGGCAGGGCACCACACCTTCACCCCCACCAGCTAGTAACGCCCCAGCCTTGTAGCTTGTCCAGGGAAAGCTGTGGTCTTGGAGTTTCCCCCTTCTCAAAGACCCCAAAAATCGCGTCTCTGACCCTCACAGCGACGAGACCGGTGCTGCTGCCAGGGCCGGTCTCTCTCGGCAGGAGCACAGGCAGCAGTTCTGCTCCTGGTCCAACGATAGCCAAAACCTTTACCCATCCTAAAACACATCCCAAGGGAAAAAACAGGAGGAGGCAGCAATCTGCCTCCTCCCTGAAAGGTCCAGCGCTCCTGTCGCTGGGATGCCAGGAGCGACGTGCACAGGAGCTGTGTGGCTGGGAATGCCGGTGCAGGACAGCCCAGGCAGGAGCACCCTGAGACCCGCTGCAGCACCTCGGGACGGCATCTCCCGCTCCTCAGACTGGAGACTCGGAAGCACCCGCTGGGTCCGCTGAGCCTACAAACGCCAGAATCGCCTCGGAGATCAGATCTGCGGGAGGATCAGCCTCCAGCCTCCGGTTAGGCCCCTCTGCAGCACCTCGGGACGGCATCTCCCGCTCCTCAGACTGGAGACTCGGAAGCACCCGCTGGGTCCGCTGAGCCTACAAACGCCAGAATCGCCTCGGAGATCAGATCTGCGGGAGGATCAGCCTCCAGCCTCCGGTCCTGACGTCTTCTCCCATCGACTCGCTCCCAAACTTCCAATCCTCCTGCCCAGCCTGGAGGAAGCCGGGCAGTGGGTCAGGGAGCTGGAAGCAAGGAGGGACTGGGACACAGAGACGGCAAAAACAAATCTTAGCCCTGTTTTTTTAGGAGAGGAAAGCGCGATGTGATGGTCTGCACGCCCCAGGGGACGACTCCATCATCCTCTTCCTCTGGGGTCGTTGAGACCGATCCCAAAAGGGATCATTTCTCCATCCCTCGCCCCGCCGGCGCCCCACGCATCCCTAAGGAAGGTTTCCACCGCGGCACGCCACGCCAGAGCAGCCCTGCCAGCGCTCTCCAGAGCTAACGCTGCGCATGTAGAAGTCTCCCAGGCCCCAAAAGGCTCAACCAAATCTCAACTGGAGTTTAGAAGCACAATACTTCTTACTTCTTCCCAGCAGGCAAAACGTTTCTCTTTGCAAAACCTCCCAACCCTCCGAACTCCGCGTTTACAGGCTGTCTAGGAAGCGGCTGGCACCTCGCTTGCCACGGTGCAACCCTTCCCCGCGCAGCCCGGAGCTCAGCTCGTCGCCCCGTGGGTTATGGCTCAGCGCAGCGGCATCCCTGGCTTGACAGAACCGTAGGCACAGCTTGTCAAGTGTTTCTTCGAAGCACGAGAGACAAGCAGAGAGAAGTGTTATGAAAACTGTGGCTTCATTAATTAAGCTTCCACCTCTTCCCCTTCCCTCGAAGCGACACTTTGCAGATCCGTAACCTGCCAGATGGGCTGCTAACGTAGCCGGCGCGGGGCTGGTGGCACGTCATGGCTCTGCTGCCTTTTTTTTTTTTTAAATCTGGCATGGAGGAGGGAGCTGGAAGAAGAAGTATCCCTGCTCAGAGGAACGACGAAACTCAGCCAAGATATCAGCTATAATGGGAAGAAATGGGAATTTTGGGAACATCAGAGCAGTGAAACAAGAGTCGGTAGAAACAGCCCGCGAAATCGCAGCTCCGCGGCCAAAATGGGTCCCCACCGTCCGGCCAGGCTGGACCCCTCGCAACGACTGCAGCGTCCTCCCGCGTTCCGGGATGCGGGGCAAACAAATCCTTTCCCGAGGCAAACTTTGCAGCCTGGGGTAGGGGCAGGGACACGAGCAAGCTTCTTGCACCGCCTGAGCCAGTGCCAGCACCCGTCCCCACCACCCATGGGTGCCAGCTCGAGTGAACCACGGCAAATGCCCCCCGAAACCCCCCGTGCGTCCCCAAGTGCTCACCGGCGCTTCATGCCATTCCCACACCATAAATCAACCCAGACAGGCAATTAGGGATCTATATTAAGGCCCTTATAAATATATATTGTATAGCAGCCTGGAACATTCAGGCTGTCTGGCTGCTCGATGGGCTGAGCCGTCTCGAGACCTGCAGTGGCCGAGGCATCCCCAGATTGCTCCGGGGCGGGGGGGCCCCGGCCGCCCGCGGCACGAACACAGCTTTTCCTCCCTCAGCCACAAAGCGCCGAGCTTCACCCTGGCAGAAAACACCGACTTCCACTAATTTACCATAATTGGTTTCAAACTCGTCTTAATGAAAACCGGTGCGGACTTGCTTAACTCCATTTAAACCAAATTTAAATCAGATTGGACCAGAATTGATTCCTCTCCGATGCAGGCTAAAGCTGGGTAAGCTGTTTAGAGTATCCACAAGGGTATTTGGCTAAAATGATTTACCGCAATCCCTAATTGAAGCAGTTTCAGCTCGGATAGAGGGAGGGTGAGCCTAGAGCTGGTGGGGGCCGAGCATCCTTCCCACCCGAGCGCCTTCCCTGGGGCATCACGCTTCCAGCTCAGCTCGGAGAATGATCCCCCTCGGCTCCTCCGGGAGCAGTCGGGATGAACCCAGCGGCAGGCGGAGCTGGTCCGTGAGCCTTTGACCGGCGTGGGGCTCGGCTTGAGCGCCAGCGGCGTGGGAGTCGGCGCTGCCAGAAGATGGTCGGCGAAACCCCGGGCGACGGCGTGGGAATCTGCACAGCATCTCCTCCCCGGGCAGCCTTCCCCAGGATGTTTTGAATTTTAGCATTTGCAAACGGGGTGGCAAAGCCTCACAGAGCGGGATAAAAATAGAAACTGTAAAAAAGGCAAA